CGGCGTAGAGGCAGCGGGGTCTTCTGTGCAAACTGTCTGACCACCAAGACATCATTGTGGAGGAAGAACGCTAATGGAGGCTACGTCTGCAACGCGTGTGGTTTATACCAAAAACTACATTCGGTAAGTCATGCACTGACATGCACAGGTACATGCGAACAGATGTAGCATGTGCACCAGCCTTACATTACACTGCAGATTATACTAGACGAACTGTAGACCTGTGAGATAGAATATATCTGTAATATAATAATAGAAATTGTTCTACCAGATGTGGTCCATTAAGTTTCTATATATTTGTGATCCCCTTTATTCCAGTTTTCTTTCATATCAGACAAATTAGAAGGGAAACGAGAGGGGAGCCTTGAATTTCAAAAACACTTTAAAAGTAGAGAGACAGAAGGGAGAGCGAACATAATACCTTCAAGTGAGCTGAAACTCAGGTGTATCATCATACAAATGTTAATTTGCATTGGAGAACTTCTATCCACTCATAGGAGACCTACATATACTCACTCATAAAGGTTGTGCTGGATCAGGAACCAAGTACTTTAAACTATTTTATAGACTCTGTGTTCGTGTTTTAGTACATCCACGGGGTGGTTTTGACCACTAATTATCATTCCTTCTATCTGGCCTATTAGCATACATCACAAATGAAATGGTGCATACTGCAGTTAAATTCTAAATACATTTGGTGAATCCTGCTGTGAAAAAGTAATATTGTGGAAAAAGTATATTTGATTTGGTGGGTGCTCGGAGTTACAGACCATTTCAGCAGTCACAGCAAGCCAGTTCCATGGAGTGAGAAATATGATGGAATGAATCAACTTTACCATCTAAGCCCGGGGAAAGTCTATGGAAATCCCAAATTTAATTAGACTGCATGAATTACAGATGAGATAAAGACCCAGCCTGGATGTTAGTTGACTTCAGAATATTGAGCTTTCTCACCTCAGATATGTTTTTATGGAGTTAAGCTAATTTCACACTTCAATATACCTGTTTAACTCAAGGGTTTACAAATATAACCAGTGTGAAACGAGACTTCAGAGCTTGCTTATGTAGATATATGCCAGATTCATGTTCACATATTGGCTTTTTAAGCTCTGCTTGTAAAAATTCAAAGTGAACAAAATGCTTCAGTGTAATAAATCACAGTGTTAATACAAGCATCTGTGGGTTGACCGTGTTACAACCCAGAGCACTATGCTGCAATTATTGAAAGGAGCTTTAAAGACCTTTTAGAGGATGGCAAGCTATCGCAGTTTACTCCTTCCTGCCCCAGCAGATGTCCTATGTTCAACCCTTTCATCTCATCTGTAGCTCCAATCACGTTCCAGCCTCACTCTTGACAATCTTCACGACAACTGTATTTTATATCCCATAATAAAAGTTTTATACGCTCTACACACATTATTAGAGAGGATAGCAGCTAGTAAAACACTTCAGAGTGAGAGAGAGAGAGGGCGAGGGAGAGTTATGAATAAAGAGGGAGTAAAAGGTAGATGTAAAGGGAGAAAGAAAAACAAAGAGAGAGGAAAGGGAGGAAGACTAGGAAAAGAGGAGAAGATTAAGGTAAAGAGCAAAGACATAGATAATGAAGGGGGAGGGTGTGTATGAAAAGTGAGAGACGAAGGGAGACAGAGCGATTAGGAGAGAATGCAGAGGAGAAAAGAAGAGAAGGAAAGAGATGGATGGATAGATAGATAGAGGGTGAAATGTGTACCAGTAGTAACTCAGCCCAGATATTCTACCAAATCAACCCTACAACCATAAAGGTGTGCAACATTGCGGTTCTCTTTGGGTGTATCACACAGGACTGTAGATGCAGAATGATGAGCAATGAGTCTTATTAATTGCTATCATCCAACATGTACTGTGTAAATCAAATTAATAAATAAACATCTGACTTACCTATGAAGTAAAAAAAAATGTTTTGATGATGGTGATGAAATGATTTCAGAAACCAGTGATCCATTTCTCATACATATCAGACATCGTGTAGTAACTCACCCTGTGACACTTCTTTATAAACTAGCAAAGTAAAGAGGTGGAGGGCATTTAGAGACTAGACAGGGAGGAAGAGATTGAGCAAAACACATTAAACTTCTTGCCAAAGCAGAGACAAATAGCAGTAAGTAAGCAGTAGAAAAGAGACGCCGTGAGAGAAAGTGTACCAGAGTGAAAGGCAGAAAGAGAAGAGAGTTGGAGAAACTTGCATACCAATTACTTGACAGAATTTTTTTTTTTTTTTTTAATTCATACTGACTGTTTTGAGTGTGAACAGACCACATCCTACTTAAAATTAGTGCATAGTATGGAATCGGGACACATCTTTGGACTGTTTCCACCATGGGGGTCGCAATTTCTTTGCTGTTGCCTTTCATCTCAGCCATCATCCTCCTGTATTAACCTCTGTCTTTTCCTCTTATTTCACATCTCCTCCCACCACTGCTTCCTCCTCCGTTCACCATATATTACTCATTCCCCCCTTTCATTTATCTCACCTCCTGTTTCCCCTCCGCTCTTGTCTCTACCTTTTCTTCTCGTGTTCTCCTCTCTCCTCTTTAGCTAGAAACACAAAACCTGGGAACTATAAAAAGTAGCGTTCCAGGTGTCTAAAATGTGAACAGAACAGCTCTCTTGGCTGCTAAAGGAAGGCCCATGTCCAAAATACATGTACATTACTAATAGTGATTCACCCATCTATTTTTTTTTCTTTATGTTACAATGTCATATGGTACCATATTGGTCTCGTTCGTTTTGATAGGCTACATCATTAACAACAAGCATCCTCCACACACAGCTCACCTGCTGCTATAAAAACTGCTATAAAAAATAGTGTAATGTATTTTTTCAAAATTTTTCAATAAAAACAAATATACCCCCCTCCATCCTCGCCACAGTTACATTCTGTCATTCTGTGGGAAACACTGAGCCTGTACTTGCACTGCAGTTTATCTTCAGTTGGATTTTAGTTGGACAAAAAAGCTCTGTCCAGTAACCTAACCTGGAGCACTTTTTTATTTTTTTTTAAAATGTTTGAGTGAGAGTGAGAGAAGGTTTGGAGAAAATGTGAAAGTTTACGAACAAACAATTGAATGGGCTCCAGGAAAGAAATAAAGAAAGAAAAATAATTTCCCATTAAAGAAAACTGCTGTCAATTATAGTTCTTAGTAAGAAAAAATCAGAATCTGCAGGTCAGATTTTTTTTTAAATCAGCGGAAAACAAATTTGGACCTCCTGAGGATTTTTGTAGAGCTAGTTTTGTCACATAAGCATATTAGAGTTAATGAATGTGGTAATAATTTTTTGTCCACCCAATCCACCTAAAAAAGTGAGCTTAAAAATACAGTATATAATGAAATACGTAATGTATGTACAACAATACACTATAAATACATAGTTTCTAATAAAATGCACAAATAAATACATAAGACGCATACCTGGGTTCTCATTTATAAACGTATGTACAAAACAGGGCTGGAAACATACGTACACCACTTCCCAAGCAAAGGTTGTGATCTATAAAAAACAAACTTGATGGGAGAATGTGTGGCCCTCTATGTAATGTCTGAGCCATGCATACGCACATAAACTGGAGAAATGAGAAACGGCAACTCACATGGCAGAAGGATGAAGCATTGACACTATCGTGTAAAATAAATCTTTTTAAATAAATGACCACTGAGTTTTATAGGCCAATAAAACTTAATATAATTTATTAATATTAATTAATTTGCCAAACAGATAAAAGCCTTTTTGAATAAACAAACACCCATTTGATTGATTTTCACTAAAGTGCGCATTAAAAAGCATCATATAAGATCATTTGCAGCAGTCACAATAAGAACCATGATTTAGGATAATAAACCCAAACAGAGACATCTGATTTTACAAATAATTGAATTGTATCAATTAATACGTGCATGCAGCGCAATTTATTCTCATAAACATGAGAATGCGTTGCTTGTAGAAACACGGTATAGAAAGAAAATATAATATATTTGCACGTTTTACCCACCAAACATAATTTTTCTTTCTTCCACCTAAGCAAAAACAATGTCTGTGTCACATTGGGCTAAATTTTTTTTTTTAGCTTTTCTGTCAGAATTTGCCATCTTTATCTTCATGCAGTCAGTAAGAAATTAATATTAATAAGGAGCATTTCACTGACCATTTATAGGCAACTGTGGGCATTTAAAGGGTCGGACATGGAGCTGGCACACAGAATTAAGCAGACCATAAGGCTGCAAGCAGAGCGTTCCAAAATTTGGCTGCAACAGCCTCAATAGCTTAATCACCACGGGTCTTAAGGCGAGTGTGTGGGACAGACAGCAAATTTTGCTTATTAGACCTAAGAGGGAGAGCTGATCAGTAAGGGTGAAGCATTTCACCCACATTTTGCAGGGGCCTGACTGTGTAGTGCGCTATAAGTAATAGTGAGAATTTTGAACTGGATACTATGTGCGATAGAGAACCAGTGAAGAGATCTTAGGATTGGGGTAACATCTGCATTACCGTGAGACGATCAAGGGCAGACATGCTAAGTGATGAGAATAGTGCATTACATCAAATGTGTATACAAGCATCCCTAGTTCAGCTGTTGAAACTACCGATTTGAAGGTTGGAGTGGGCAGCAGAGGAGCTAGCCAGTCCGTAATAGTGTTAAGACTGTCTAGGAACCAAGATCATCCAAAAGCCTCACTGTGTTTGAGAGAAAAAGTTTTTGAAAGAAGGAGTTTGATATAATCCGCAAATTAAATCATATGTTATACTAAATCAGTATAGGATCTTTCCCAAGGGCAGCAAATATAAGAGAATAACAAGGGCCCCAGAACTGAGCTCTGGGGGACACCACAATACAGTGGAGAGGAATCAGACAAAAAGTCTCCAGCAGAGGGTGAAATTTCTGTCAGTGAGATAGGATGTAAACCAGTCTAATGCTGAGCCTGATATGCCCACCCAGACACACTCTTTATCAGGATACAATGGTCTATAGTGTCAGATGCAGAGCTGAGGGCAGAGACAGTGTGCCTCTCCAATTCTGCAGCTAATTGGTTGGCAACAACCTTCTTTAATTTTTTGATAGAAGTAGGCTATAGTTTAGGGGCAAAGCAGGATGTAGGTAGATTTTCCTTTAATATTACTTTAATTTATACTACCATGCTTAAAATAGGAAGGGACACATCTTGTAGAAAAGGAAGAGTTGATGATAGCTAAAACAGTGGGGCCAATAAATGTCAAAACCTTTGAAAATAGGGGAGATGGTATTATATCCAGAGGGCTGAAAGATAGCTTCATCTTCCTAATTAACTCTTCTAGGCTGACAGGTTGGAAAGCATCCAGATCAGTAGCAGTTAGGGAGAGACTAGAATTTGGTGGTACCAGTGCAGCAGAACATACCGTGCATAGCCTCAGAAATAAAGCTGTCCACATAGGTACATGCATAACTGTGACTATGCATACATATACATAGGGATAAAACAATCTAGGGTAGCCGAGACAAAGCATGCATTACAAGAAACATGAGTGGTTTATTCCTTTATTTTTTTAATAGAAGCCTTTATTTTTGCTTTTCCTCAAAAACATGTTCCTCTATCATCATTTCGCCCTATCTCTCTCTTCCTGCTTGGTCCTTGTCTATTTGTCTTTATGTGATGTATATAAGTCAAAAAAGACCTACATCACAGGAGACAGATAAAGACACAGCAGGGGATTTTAGAGACAAACATGAGTTATATACAGGCCCATGCATGTACAGAATAACAAGGCTCTTTGCTGTTCTTGAAATAGGACAAAAAGTCTAATAAATTCGACCAACATGGCAGTATGAATTTTAAAAAACTGAATGTTTTTTGATGCTTGAAAAGCACCCATCCTAATGCTAGTTGATTCTGACTTTTTTTCAGTTAATACTGTATGGAGGTCACTATTATGTGTATTCAAGATTCAAGAGAGGAGGCTGAAGTTGTTTCTTAGTAAAATGATAGGAAGTCACTACTTTTGAGTTAAAATGTAGATACTTTAAAAGACACTTTTAACTGCACAGTTGATTTTACTTCCAGGAAAGAAAATCTTTTGCTGATTTGTCTGGGCATGTTTTTGCCTGTTTTGATTTTTTGGCATGTATTTAGAAGTGAAACAACCAGAACATCATCAAGTACTTTATTTATCCTAGTGTAACAGAAAAAGTGAGGAGGCTTCATAAATTGTGTTGTGGATGTTACTGAGCAGTTTTTATTCTTTGTAATTCCGCTTTTAACCCAAGGGTTAAAGGTTCTTAAGACCTCTTTTGTAATTGGTTAAACGTTATGCTTTCTGATTGTGTAGTTAGTGGGAGAGAAGTTGAGTTTTCAGTGCAAACTCTACTTACATCACAGGTAAGCACTCCCCCTTGTGGGAAGGGCAAAAATTACAGTCCATAGGAGTGCTAGATATGTTAGTCTTGTTTTTTCTAGCATGTCACATTTAATTACACTAAGGTATGTCCATACTGAGACTTTTAAAACTTAAACCATTGGAAGTTTTTCTGAGATCCTTTTAGCAGTCTTTGTTTGCTTTTATTGTTTGAAGATCTACAACTGTAGCTACTGTAATTGTCAGCCATAGTGCAAATTCATTAGCATTGTGTTTGTATATTTCACCAATTATCGAAGGGCTTTATATTCATACAGGCAGTTTATTGGTCATGCTCAAATAGATACTTTGTATTGATTCAGATGTTACAATTTCCCTTTTGTAATACATGTCATGCTAAGCTGTGTATGCTTGTTATTGGTCAGGTCAGTTAAGCAACTTTAAATGATGCATGGGGAAATCCAAATCTGTTGTATTAACAGGAAAATGAATTATCACTAAATGTATTACTAAAAGTTTACTAATCCTTTTCTTTTTTTAACATATCTTCCTTGTTTCCTTTATCTTGTAGACACCCAGACCTCTAAACATCATAAAGCAGAACAACGGTGAACAAATTATCCGACGGCGAACCCGCAAACGCCTCAACCCTGACTCGCTGTCATCTGAACCCCCCGCCCCCAAGCAACAACGCATCACCAGCGAGGAGCGTATGAACGGGGAGGAGTCAGACAGAAGCTGCGCAACAATCAAAAACCAGCAGCCCTCCCCTCGCTCACGCTCACCCCGATCTACTCAAGCTTTCCTAGCCAATCAAACATTGGAGATCCACCGACGCATGCCTCCCCTGCTCCTCCCGTCACATCCCCCCTCCACATTGGTAGCTGAGGGAAATGGGGGCATCACTGAAGGAGGGATAACATCAAAACTAGAGGGAGGTAAAGGAGGAGGGGGGTCAGAAAGAGGCAGTCCGATTGAAAAGTACATGCGTCCAACCAAACCGTCTAGTTATTCGCCTCCTGGTTCACCCATTGAAAAGTATCAGTATCCACTTTTCTCCTTACCCCTACCATTAACGCTCTCCCCTGATTTGACACCTGAGTCGGATTGGCTCAGATTCTGGACCAAGTATAAGATGGCAGCTGCCTCTGGGGTTCCTGGTAGCATCAGTAATCTAAGCAGCCCTGGTAGCATTGGAAGTAACGCTCATTATCTTGGTGCAATGGTGACTCCAGTACATCATCATCAGCAAAGCTACACAGTGCCTTACTGCTCCTCTCCCTATTCTCCTCTCCCCCCTCCTCCTGCTCCTCCTCACTATCCTCCCCCTCCTCTTCAATCTCAAATCTCTTCACCATCATTAGAAAATGATGGTCCTTTGGATCTTGCAATAAGACAAAGAGATACAAGTGCTGCACATGCCCACCTGTCAACAAATGGTGCAGAGAGGAGAAGGCAAGAGTCGCCACTCGCTGAGAGGTCAAGAGAGAACTGGAAAGGAGAGAAAGAGGAGGAGGAGAGGACAGATGAAGGAGGGACCCAGAGGGAGGATATGGGAAAGGAAGAAAAGGATAATTTGACAAAAAGTCAGTCAAGTGTCCCATCAAATCGCACCATGGTGGAGGTGGCCACGCAGGATGACCTGACCAACCGTTGCATCCACTGTGGGATCTACTTCCTAGACGAGGTCATGTATGCCCTGCACATGAGTTGCCACGGTGACCAGGGACCATACCAATGCAGTTTTTGCCTCCACGTCTGTGCGGATCGCTATGATTTCACCACGCACATACAGAGGGGCTTACACAGGTACACAGACAAAACGTCGCAAAACAGGGGTCACACGCAGGACAGCATAATTCAGAACGTCACTGTGACAACAGAGCGCGAGTGTCATTATGCGACGCCAAAGGAAAAAGATGGAGGGGATCATAGTGAGAATACAGATGAACGCAATGATGTCATAGGAGTTTGTCCTGACAACCAAGCAAAAGGAATTACAGGCGATGATTCCAGTGACAATGAAACGGGAGTTGAAGAGGAGGTAGGAGGGGAGGATCATGACATAACAAACCAGGAATTAGGAGACACGGTGGTGTCAGATAATAATAATGATATCGCAAAACCCACAGAGGTCACGACTGTTGCTGAATCTAAAAACTTAGATGAGAACGCAGAGAGCAATTAATCTGATGCCTTTGACTCATACAAACCTTGAAGAACGCGTTTTATTGGATGAATAAGCTGTATGCCTCCATGTTCCTGGAGGCTAGCTCATGTCAAAATGGGCCTATCCTGGGCACTAAATGGAACACATCCTTATGCTGGAAGCACTCGGCTGTCAAATGGTCAAAAATCATTGTAGGATCCCGATGAACTGCTGCAGGGACAGTTTGGAGAAATGGCCTGAATCCTGTCTTGAGTGACGGTCACTTGACAGCTCTGTGGCAAGTATTCAACAACAGAGTCCGGGCATGCAGCTGAAATCACCTTAAATAAACAGCCACTTTGTGTGCTTTCCAAATAAGAGGATTGAAAGCTCGACTGAATGTTGGACTAGTCTCATTTAGGATGAGTTTGAGGAGCTCAGCACTTGCACAGTCATCATACAGCAGAGCAAAAAAATAACAAAAAAAATATGCTAGAAGCAAAACACTTAAACTGAACTGAACTGAGCTGGTCTTTTATGTACCACGCTAAACTGAACCCTGACCTGGTTCAAACTAGTCTGATGCATCATTCAAACTGTTTTATCTTGGTACAACCGGATCTGATCTGGTTAGAACTACTTTGTTCTGGTCTGGAGCATGTTTTTGACTGTTTTACCTCTGTGCAAATGGATCCAAAACCAAAACTTATTTTTGACTCTATAAAACTGGTCCAGAGTTAAACCAGTTTGTGCTGGGCTGCAGTTCAGCTGAGGTTACCTTGGTACAAAAGGATCAGTTGGTTTCTTTTACTTGTGCCCTGTTGTCCCTGAAACTGTCATTGCAAAACCACCACCTCTGCAACGTGGCCCACAATGGGAGACTGTGTTGTGTTTGATTTGACCGTGACTTTTTTTGAACTGCTTGAAAAACCGGAGTGATTCCGGACCGAAGTGTTCTCTTCATCCATTTGGATCGAACCAAGTGACATTCTTTTCTACCTTCCTCCGTGCCATGATACTAGCTATGTGCCTGGCTGCCTGCCTAATAGAACAACCATCTATTAACCTGCTTAACATTTATATTAATGATAATAATGGTAATAATAATTATGATGATGTTATAGTGCAAAACATGCAATTTGCTACACTTTCCTATATAATATGTTATTTTGTAAAGGCAAATAATGCTTTTTTTGCGGAAATGGTACTATAAAAATTAGTCTATTTGAGTTTTTTTATTTTTGAGCTGTTTGTTGTTATTGTTATTATGGAGACTTGTTACATTGATAACAGCCGTCTAACAGAAATGGTACAGAAAGGGTGGGGGTGGGGGTTGTGTGTATGTGTGCATTTGTGTAATTGCATTTATGTGTGTAAGGATCAAAGGATGTGTCCGTCCCCAAACAATGATGTAAAATAATGAAGGCTTGCGCTCGGCATTTCAGTCCTCAGGGGTCACACTTGTTGCATACCAACCCACCTGTTTCATAGCATGTGACACATCATTTTTACATGATAGGTCTAATGGCTTTAGTATATTGCATAATGCCCTCTTATATATGTTTTTATCATGTTCTTTATGTGTTAATAGGTCAAAATGGTCTTGTAGCGTTTCTATATGTCTTTCAACATTGCTAGGTTACATGGTTTTATGGAGAGACTTAGGAAGATAAATTTTATCATAAGGATCAATTATTTGGATTAACTATATAAACTTTGACTCTGTATTGAGTCTACAGAGCGTCTTGCCTACAGTGTTTTATTCAGCTACTCTAAGAGTTTGATAGGTTAGCTCTATGTAGCATGTTAGTGTGCAAAATAAGTTGCCTTTTCTATGGATGGGAACTGTTACACGTTAGACCTGAATAATACTGAAAAAACATTGTACATTTTTATAATCCAGTCAAGTGAAATTATCACATTGCTTTTAACTCACACCATCCCACTTTTATTCCATTTCATTACCCGTGTATAGGTTCTCAATCAGTGTACACACCTTAGGAAAAGACCCCTCGATACCATAACTGCGTCTCTCTTTAAATCAAAATTTTCATTGTTTATTTTCATCATTGAGAGAGTCGTGACTGTCAGGTCCTTGAGTCCCCCACTATGCGTCAAAATGGAGCAACACAGTGGCCATCTTGTTTATTTTTATAAAGGGAGAATTACTCTCCAGCCTTGCTGCCTTAGTTGCTAGAAAACAAAACAAAATCACCAAGAAACTCCTTTGAAGGAAATAATAATAGGCCGAAAGAAAATAAATGACAGGAAGGAAGAACGAATGAGAAAACATATTTTTCTATGCTTATCCAAAAGACATGAATGAAATATATTTCGCCTAGTGCCTGGTAACATGTACAGTTTTTCTAATAGTATGTTTGTCTGTGTCAAATCATTGTGTAAATTATTAGTCAGGCAGAAGTTGGGCAAACATACTGCTGTGTTGATTCTCATGCACCAAGTTATCAGAGTCATCCATTATGATGCTTGCTTTCATCCTGGCTGTCTGACTGGTCAGATACCTGTTCACACTTGGCATTCAGCCCACGAGAAAGACCCACATATTCTTTTAAAAACTGAAATTGGTTGCTGTGCTAACTGTCAATCACTAGTTAACCATCTTTACATTTTTGCATGTATGTACACAACTTTGTAGAAATGTTGAGACGTATGACTCTGTAACTTTTGTATGAAAGACGTAATACCAAGAAGATTATCTCTACTGTGTATTTGGTTTTTGGAGAAGATGAATTATCGCATGCAGTCCTGTTGCCAGAGTGCCCGTATCATGGTAAAGGAAAAGGCCATTCTAAGGTGTTATTAATTTAAAGAGGAGTTTATCATTAATATTTTTAACACGTTTTCAATAAGTTAAGTCAAGTCAAGTCTTTCTTGCAGAATAAGGCAGCAAACAGTAAAATAAAACAAATAATCTACTTTACAAAATGAAATAGCTGAACTTTTCACCAGATCAGTGTGTTGTTGTATGCTGGTTGCAGGTTAATACCTCTAGTATTTATGTTAAACATTAAAGCATTTTTGTTTTTTACATAGGAAGACCTCATATACTCTGTATGTTGAGGCATCATAGATACTCTTATTATCTGAATTTTTTCATTGATTATAAACCTTTTTTTAGTTTCTGTTAAAGTGCTCAAGGTTTATTACGTTTGCGTCATGCGTTAACTCAACAGCCAAAAAAAACCCCTGTCAAACCAGCACTGCACACAGTACTGAGTATGTCACATTAAAACACTAAGAAACCAACTATTTGTATAACTATCGGTGCAACATATTTACATTGGAGTTGGAAGTTATTGCTGTTGTAATTGCAGTAATTGCTTTGCAAATGCAAAGAAATCAGTCTATTTAGGATGGCACAAATTCATGTGTGGCACCCTTCTGTCTGACACACATCCCACTCTGGTGTCAAGTGCAAGCATTAGTGTCCTCTAAAGAGTCTGTGCCATGTATGGCTCCACTATCCATGTCTGTTGGGGCCTTTTAACTGCATTAGTTACATGTTTTAGAAATGCTTTTATTCTGAAGTTTGCCCTGTATTTGCTGAATAGGTTCGATCATTCTGTATAAGGCCTGATGAAGTCATTTAAAAAAAAAAAATTGGTTGAATATATTCTTGGAAATCTCTTGCGCTAATGTGTAAAGTTTTTAGGATTAACTTTTTCTTCTTTTTTTTCGGTTATGGGCATCTCTTAAGGGGCCGTTAGCATAATAAAACTGTTTACATTTGCAAATGTAGCAACGAAAAAAGGTAAAGGAATGAAGCATTGCTTTCTTAAAAGACGCTGAGATGGATAGATGGGTGCCTTTGAAGAATATATGGGTAGAGGGAGAATGGGATCAAATGACGCTTGTAGCAGCTGATAAAAAGAGGTTTAGTTTATTCATCCATTTAACCCCTGTCTTCTGTTTGTCTCTTTACCTCCCTTTAACATCACTTGTATTTTTCTCGTATGTTGTCTAATTTGACATATACATCTCTTTTCTTTTTATCTCTACACCTACTGTTACTGCTCTCTGTCACTTATCTCTTCTGTGTTCCTCCACTTTCTTTTGATAAAGCTATTCTCAGTTGACAGGTTGAGGGGATTTAAAGAGAGTTAGGTGATTGTGTCATACTGTGTTGCTTCCAAAAAGCTGAGGTCGACTCAGTTACTCCACGAACCTATATACTTATGTTGACTTTAGGCTGAATTTCTCTCCTAGTTGAACGGCCCATGGGTTTGTTGAGAGGAATTGTTACCAGCAGTAACATTTCAAATACTTGCCAGAAGCAAAGTGTGGATTTTCTAAGATTTAAGTTCATTCATTTGCCAACGGGACTCACATTTGAAAAAAATTCAGTCTATTAAAGATGTAAAGTCCTTTCATTCAGTCATTTTCATGGGGTTTCTAGGAAACAGTAGGAGAAAGATATGTTTTAAAAAGGATCAAATAGATTTGCCTTTTTTTTATTTGTAAAAATCTGGGTGTTCATCACATCTTGATGAACCACAAGGATTTCTCAGTGGGCTGGAGACAAATTCTGATGCCAAAATGTTTCAATAGTTTAGCTTTTGAAAGAAAACCCTTTCCCTGTCAGCTACGTACTGAGAAAGAACACAGCCTTGATAATAAAAAAAAACTTGTTCATGCACATTTTTCATATTCATGTGCTCTGCAGAACCCTTTGCCATCAAGAAATATCTTCTTTTGTGTAGGAAATTTTGGGAGAACATTTTAGTTGTCATTTATGGTTCAAAATAGGCAATTTTAGTAAGAAATGAGGTTCTGCAGGACACACATGACATGACATGTTTTACTTCAAATATGAGTGTATGTCTTAGGCTTGACGGTATTTCATATCATCGTTTACATTGGGTGAGGGAGGGGGGCTTAACAAGTGTTTTCATTTTTGTCTTTGTCATAATGTGTTATAGAAAATGATGCTGTTGCTTGCACTCCATTTATTATGTTCTTATTGCCAAGGAAGGGATAACACACACACACACATGTACACACACAGTGACACACGCCAGTAGTGGTACGGATTGAGTGTGCATTTTGAGATGTACAGTATTAACCATGGGAGACAAGGGAGCTAAAGGCCAGTTTATTATTGGTCAGACACACACACAAACAAACACACATGTATGCACACACACATCAACTATGTACATTTAACCAATATATGTTAGTAGAATTTTGTCTCTATTCAGTTGAATGGCTTTTGTAGAAAACTTGGAAAATTTTTTTTTGTTAGGTTTTTTTCCTTCTCATGTATTTTATTCTGCTACCTTTCTGTACGTTATTGTTTTTAGGTTTTATTTCAGCAACATATTTTGACAGCCAAGAAAAAGTTTGTTACACAGCTAAACTTGAAGAATAATGTTGATGATGATGACGATGATAATAATTAATAAAAGTAATAACAAACACACTGAAAATGGACAATGGGTGTTTTATTCATTAGTGATTTACAGTAATGTAATAAAAAATAGAAAATCTATAAATCCTCCATTAGCAAATCAGGCAAGCTGTGGCCTGATTACAGTATGTGAATCCTCTTCATGGTGTTTTTGAAGAGTGGGTTCTAATCTGAGACAAACTGTGGACCTTGGCAGCACAAAGGCACACATGTGGCAGCTGTGGACTGACCAGATGCAATTTTTAATACATAGGGCTTTCATACTAGGTCAGGTGATTTTTCGACAAGATTTGCAAGAAAGAAGTGGAACCTCAGAATATGAGCTCCTGGCTGCATTCAGAAAGGCTGTGCTTTCTGAATGTAGCCAGGAGCTCCACAGCCATCATGTAATTCTACTCATCTGCCACCCGCCTGCTTTTTCTATCTCACTGGCTTGCGTTTTCTCCTGATACAAGTATTAGATTATTTGTTTGTCACTTACATTATTTAGTGCACACACCACACTCTATACATTAAACTGACCCTGTTTGTGTATCTCTTTATGGTTCCCAGTGGATCATTCCATATGGTATTTGTGACCCTGTATCCATTCATCTAGTGACACTGATGTCTGCATCATCAACACTTTGTTCCATGACAAGATAGCTTGATGTGTGCTGGCCCTCATGGCCCTCAAAGGATACATTGTGATTTTATTGGTGACCCCTTTTGACTTTTCATTTACAGGCCGATCTTCAAGCCAGGATTTCAATTTCCTGACAAGAAGTGTCAAAATCTTAACATTGAAATAAAAATTTGCTGAGCATTTTGGACAATCTTGGAGCTTTCCTCTTGAGTTGCTGCCAGGTCAAAATGTCAACTTCACACACAAGACAAATGGCTTTTTTGATTGACCCCATCAACTTTTCCCCTAGTATTACCCTCAGGACCAGCTACTGTCCAAATGGCAGTATTAGAGCTAATATTTTTGAATGTCCGGGTGTCATGAACATAGCATATTGTACTCTTGCTATTTACAGTAACAGCTCATTGACTTAGGATAGCATTGACAAATTAACCTGAGGCTCATTTCTCACCAACACACATCACATGGCAATAATTTGAGAGCCTGTTTTAATCTTCCCACAACCCTCCTATGGGTCAGGAACTTTGACAAACTTAATCAGCGCAGTGGTGCTATCTGTCAGAAGACAAAGGCTTCTAATCTTCCATCTATATTATGTTTAGCAATATCAATTTATCTTTGTGTTTATAATATGAACATTGATTCGAGTTGATTAACTCTGCTGGCTGCAGTGAAATTATGTGTCAGCGGGGCGTCATTTAAATGTGTGTGTGTGTGTCTGTGTGTGTCTGTGTTGTGAGTGTACAAGTGTGTGATGATTGGCCACAGAACGTCAGTTTCAGACTAGAATACTAAACACCCTGGTGTCTACTGGAGAGGTCAACGCACAGACACATCCAGCTGCACATAATTATGAACCTATTCAAGGCAAAAGAGAAAAATGCACCACATCAATAAAAGGCACAACAAATCGAAGGGCTGTAAAAACAACATGCAACAATTCATGGACACATTACCATACTATGTGTGCTGAAAAGACATCAGGTGGCAGATGTATGCCTGCACACACACAATCTTTCTATTTTTCAGCGTGAAGCTCGCATCTCTTCTCTATATGCTCTGTCTGCCTGTCTGTCTGTCAGCCTGCCTGTCTTTCCTTTTAAACATCTCGCAAACATCATTTCTGTTTATTGTAATTCATGTTTATGTATGAGTTACCTACACTGTTGACAGAGGGTTTGACTCTCTGCCTGTGTGTGAGAAAGCAACAGAGTAAGGAGGTGTGGATGTATGTGTGTGTGTGTGTGTGTGTGCGTGCGGGCCCGCACATGTGCTTATGTATGATGCATCATTGTTGTTGCCGTTGTCATGTCTTCATGTTGGTCGACTGAAATTTGCTTTGGCGTCTGTTTAGATTTCATATTCTGACAGACGGAAAGAATTGGATAGATAGATAGATAGATAGATAGATAGATAGATAGATAGATAGATAGATAGATCATAGATGTAAATATGATCTAGTTTCTGGGCACTTTGAATTATGAATGTGGCTCATGTTGACAGCTGTGAAGTCTGATAGTCTACAAGTGTGCACAGAGGAAGAGACAGAGTATGAGAGAAACACTGAGATAGACAATGGGATAAGGAGAGAGCGAGAGAGAGATGATCTAGCTTCTAGGCATATTGAATATTGAATGATTCCAACATTGACTGCTGTGGGGTCTGTGAGCTAATTCCATATTCATTCAGATAGATCAGATAGATAGATAGATAGATAGATAGATAGATAGATAGATATTCATTATATCAATCATTTATAACTAAGTGAGCCGCTGTATTATGAGCAGGATCTCTGGCTTTCACGAACCCCAGTCCCAGCTGAAAGCATAATTACAGCTCTATATCGCCTCAGTACGTCGGCTGTGTATCATCAGTTTCACAGTGAGGTCCACTGCAGAGGCAATTGATGTGTAATCTTCTTTCCTTTCATTTCCTCTTTACTAATCTAGTTACTGCAATATCTGCACACTATGCCTCCTCTCTCTACTTGTCTCTTCTCCTTTGCTCTTTTTAAAAAAATTCTTAATTGTCATAGCGGGAAAGAACCTGTGTTACTGAGTTATTGAAGTGGGTGTGGTTAACATTCCTTTAGACTGAAGCTTTGAATGGAAAATCCATCACCAACATTCAAGCATAACAAAAAACAAGCATAACTGTAATGTGACGAATAAAGGAAAAGAAAACCAATACACACTACTACATGCTTAACGGATAAGTCTGTCCAAAATCAACAGTCCATCTCTCTCTACTTTGTATCTTCCCCAGCCTGTGGGACTCCCCAAACCCGTTTGTACCCACTGCAGACATACATCTTTTAAAAATGGGTCACAAATATATAGATTCATTTCTATAACATTTTCTCAAACACCTGGGTACTTTTTTAGCAAACATTATTCAAACATTTGTAAATAATACATTTGTTTTTAGCAGTATTTATGTGCTATTGAGTATTTACGGCAGCCATATATTTGGGATAAACTCAAAATAAAACTATACTGTTCATGTTGATCATAATGAAGGTGCAGTCACCCAGGAATATTATTTTATATATGGAAGCTGGTAACAATTAAAGACATGCACGGATGTAAGCAATATCTTTTAACCGACATGTCTGTATTTTGTACAAAAGACATCTCTTAGTCCCCACTTTTACAGTAGATGTATCCTCTTCTCTTCTCCTTATCTTTGATATAAGACATCCATGAGCAGAGTCAAACAATACACACAGATGTCAGGACTCACACACCCACGCATATGCACAGAAATGTTTGTGCATGCATGCACTCATACAGTATGCAAATACACTGCAGAAGTATACTTCTGGGGAATTGCACAGGACCATGCATAAATATATATACACACACACGCACACTCAAATGCACACACAGTCACCCACACATTGCGTCAGAAACACAGCTTTTCCTTGCCCCGTCCTTCACATGAGGGCTCTGGAGTTCTTTAATAATAATTCCGTTAATAACATCTCCTCACAATAACACTGATAATGGTATGCTCCTGTGTGTATATGTGTGTCTTCAAAAGACAATTTCTATTTCTGCGGAAAACTCAGATAAGCTTTTGCTCGCTTTCTTCACCTGCAACCCACCACTCTGCTGTATAACCGCCCCCCAACCTAAGTAATAAAATACATTTTAATTCTCTCCAGAGCACATGAGAGACCAAGCAGTCAGAACAGCTGTCTTTAATGGTTGGTGTCTTTATCCTTGTTGCAGTCTGACTCTTTTTCTTTCAGTTTTATTCTGATTTTCAGACTGTACAGTTTCTTCTTACAATTCTGTATTGTATATTAAACTTTAATAGAGTTCTTGATGTGTTTAGGAGAGTGTATGTGCATTGTGTGTTTTGTATGAGAGAAAGGCTGAGTGTGTGCTATGCAGACTTTAAGCATTAATAACATTTCTTTCTCTTCAACTGTCAGCGGAAACAAAATTTAGCAGGAACGAGACTCACAACCAATCTGAGCACAACATTTTCTCGTCTGTAAGTGTTCGGTAAAGATAATTTTTTTCAGTATTATTTTTTCTGTATTGTTTTCTATTTTGTTTGTGGGGGTGTTTGTGATGCCTAGAAAAACTGTGTTTTCCTCCAACAGTTCCTCACAGTTAAAGTCACAGCCTTCACATTATCTATTGTGCTTAGTGCACTCAGAGCTCTGATATAGACTCACGCAGCATCAGTGCTTCTGCTCCTTTCTGCTTTATTGTCTCCCACAGGATCTGCCTGTCCAATCATCTGTCAGCTCATCGTGCAATGCCTGCCCAACAACTGCAATTTGATTAAATTCGGGAGACTGATGTGTACAACAGTATTAACAGTGCTATAAACACAAGTCAAAAGGATGCATCATGCATGGGTGACAACATATTTACTGTTGCATTTCTTCAACTCTTCAATGCCTCATCTGTAGTGCATCTTTTACAAGGAAGAATTAGTTAAATTTTGGGGCTCAAAGTTGTCAAAGGAGACAAAGAAGTTAACATGAAGGATTTAAGGAACAAAAAAATAATATGAAAAATAAACAAAAAAGTAAAATAGGAAAGCTTTTCCTAGGTAGGTATATATAGATATCTATATCTATCTATATATATATTATATATATATATACATTTGCGATGGACTGCCGACCTGTCCAGGGTGTACCCTGCCTTTTCGCCCGATGTCAGCTGGGATAGGCTCCAGCCCCCCCCCCCCCCGCGACCCTGTACGCAGGATAAGCGGTTGACGATGGATACTAAAAAATTTTCTCAGTTTCTCAGTTGGTTACTGTATTTTGGGTTTATGAGGAGGATTTACAAGTTTCATTTTAATGGAGAAAAAGCGACACATTCATTAATTTAACATTTGGCCTCAATAAAAACTTTTTACA